ATACATATACATATACATATACATATACATATATACTCATATACATATACATATGCGTATATGTATTGTAGTTCATATAGGAATTAATCGGGTCTGTTGCTTCGCTCTCGTCGGTTTCGCGTTTGGCTGCGACTTAGTTACCCGAATGTGAATTTGAGCGAGGAGCCAATGTTGGCCAGGCTGTGGGTGACGCCGCTGCTGGCCACGGGCATCGTCTCGGAGCGGTGCATGCTCTTGCCGATCTGCGTGGACTCGTCGAAGGTGGCGCTGCGCTGGCCCCGGAACAGGATCGGCTTGTCGCTGTACATGTTGCTATTGGCGGTTGCTGCTGTGGTTGCTGCCATCTCTGGCTGTGCCTCTGGCTGCTGTGTGGGCGTGGCGTCCTCCTCGTTCAAGGCGCCCAGCGGATCGTTCTGGGTGACGGGGGTACGTGGCGAAATTCTAGAAAATAAGTAAAGAGGGTTGGGAATTGAACCGAAGCGAACGTCAAAGAGGACTCATACTTGGTGGGGCTCTGCACACGCTGCCTGGCCTGATGTGCGCCCGCATGCTCGTCGAGCTCATCTTGCTCCTGCTCCTCGTCCACATCCACATCCACATCGACATCCACATCGACATCCACGTCCACGTCCAGGTCGTAGTCGCCGCCAGCAAACTCCATGTCCTGCTTGCCTTTCTGCGGCGTCTGCGGCGCCGACAGCTCCGCGTGCTCGGCCTGTTGGTCCTCGTCCTCGTCGTCGTCCTCGCCGTCGCCGATGCTCATGATCTGCTTGCGCGGCTTGTTCAGCAGCTGCGCGTCGCCGCCGTAGGTGGGCGTGAGGGGCGTGCTGCCGTTGGCGCTGTTGGAGGCCGACTCGCCGCTGATGAGCAGCCCAGCGCTGTTGACCACGTCCTCGGTGGGCAGCGCGTCCGCAGTGCCGCCCGCCACCGTCTGGCGCACAATGCTGCCCAGCTTGTTGCGCAGCCTGTCGAAGGCGGCGAAGTCGAGCAGCCCCCCGCCGCCGCCACCGCCCTCGCCGGAGCTGGCCAGACTGCTGCGCGACTGGCCGTCCACCATTTCCAGGGTGCTCAGATTGTGGTCGTGCGAGGAGCTGAGGGACTTGCACACCTTGGCGGCGGCTCGGCGCTTGCCGGCGCGACGGAACTGCGCCGCGCCCATCACGACGTTCTTGATGCGGTTCCAGCGGATCTGGCTGAGCGTGGTGCTGTCGCTGGGCCACTGCGACTCGAGCACGCAGCGATTGTAGAAGCCGTAGGTGAGCGCGTTCGGCTGGACGCCCGAGCGCTTCATCAGGTAGTGCAGGCGCACCGCCAGCACCGGCAGATTGTGGATGCCGCAGAGCTGCATCATGATGCGGTAGCAGAACTCGTCGCAGGTGATCTTCAGCTTGCTGGCGCGCACCAGGACGTCGTAGGCGGCGCGCAGGATGTCGTGCTCCTTGCCCGCGTGCCGCGTGTCCATCACCATGGAGGGCAGAATCAGAAAGTACAGCGAGTAGCAGGTGGCCAGCAGGTACTTGGACCACGCCTCCGGATGCTGCTGGCAGCGGCTGGCCATCTTCTGCGACAGCTTCACCTCGTGCTTGGTGCGGCGTGCGATCGGTGAGCCGGGCGACAGCGAGGCGTTCAGCTGCAGCTGCAGGAACTGCGACAGCGCCGTCTTCTTGGTGCTCTGCAGCAGCTCCGGCCGTAGCGTGAAGTTCTTGTACACGTAGCTGGAGGCGCCGCCGGACGCCACGGACACATTGTCCGGCGGAAAGATGTACTTGGTGCGCTCGCTGCTCTGGCCCGTGTCCCAGTCGACCAGACGCAGCTGCCCGGGCGTCTCGTCGTAGCCCGTCACCTTCTCGGCGCACTCGTCGAAGAAGCTCAGGCCGTGATCTCCGTCGGAGACAAAGCTGCGCTCCTCGATGAACCGGATGAACATTTGAGTTTTCATCAGCAGCTCAAAGAATTTCTGGTGCGACTATAAAGAGGAGCGAGCGAGAGCGAGAGGGAGAGAGAGAGCGAGAGATGTAGTGGGGGTGTGACAGAGATAGAGAGGGAAATCAAGTACTAAAAATACATTAGCTAAATCAAAATGAATTATTCGCTGAATTGGGCTATTCATCAATGCTAGTGGCATATCAATAAGTTTACGATATTCGATGTGTGCCGGAACGAAGATGAGATCACAAGGCGTGACTCAGTGGATGCAGCATCACTTGCCTTTGATTGAATGATTTCATATAAAGCAATTCCCGCGACTGGGAAAACTAATTCAAGCGGCCCACAGCGAAAGGGGCGAACTTCTGGCTCTGATTGAGTGCTCCGCATTCCCGAGGCAGAAGTGCGAGTGCCCTCTGCACATATGTGTGCCCAGTGTGTGTATGTATGCGTGTGATGTGGTTCGATTGTGCAGTGTCAGCTATACTGCATATATGGCAGCCCGATTGGTGTCGAGCTGTGGTTGATTGAACCGCGCCGCAATTATAATTAGTTTAATTACGCTAATTACTGCGAACGTAATTGGCCGACTTGGGGCATTTGAATATCGCCGCAGATTATCGGACGCATTAGGAGATATCAGTGGCGACGCCGCTAAGCGGACGACCGTGGCCGATTCTCCCAACGGGTTGCCTCTGGCTGACGCTGACGTCATCTTGGGAATGCGAATATTATTGGGAGATAAAAATAGATTGAATACTACTTTCTAGATTGCTGCGAGGGAAAAGCAAAGGCAAGAGCAAAAGCAATGAGCTTCAAGGCCACAGCGAATGAATCTACCGAAACAGTTGTCCGCACGCAATTGCTGGGCCCATTGTCCGGGGCCACGGCCCGCCCCTGGCGCTCCGCCGTGCTTACCTTGTCCCGCGAGCGCAGAAAAGCTTTCAGCTGGAATAAGGCACTCGGATCCGTGGCGCCCACAGAGGGTGCCTTTGAAATGGGCACCAGATAGTCACGATAGCCGCGCAATATGCACGCCATGAAGAGCAGAAATGCCTCTTGGATGCGCTGCTCCAGCACCAGCTGCAGAAAAAATTAACAAAGATAAAAATAAAACACATTAACATAAATTGAGCTGAATCAAGTAAATTGAAAAGGGGAGGGGAGGGGGAGAGCTGCCCGTGGGTCAACCTTACCTCACGCTTGCGCTTGCGTATGTCCCGATCCAAGCTGTTGGTCGAGTCGTAGCTGATGGGCTTGGCGTTCTCCAGCTCGGTGAGCGTCTGTCGCAGCAGTCGAGCCGCGCGCTTGGGCAGCAGCTTGGGCGTCAAATGGCGCTGGGAGTCACAGAGCTGTGGGCGAGAGAGATTCAAGAATAGACTAGATAGAATGAACAGAGAGAGAGAGAGACAGAGAGAGAGAGGGAGAGTGAAGAGTGCATACGCTGATGTTGTTGGTGTCCAGATCAATGCAGGTCACATCCGTGGGCGGCTCGTACAGATCGAAGAAGCGCGAGTCGACGCCAATCAAATAAGGCAACGGCGCATGCAGCACTTCGGCCAAGCCCAGCGGGCACAGCGGTATGTAGGGGCATTGCCACTTGAACGGAAAGAGTAGCGAGACAATCGCCTCAGCGACGGCAGTCAGAGTTGCAGGCCTACAAATGAGAGCTGGATGAGACAGAGCCAAGGACACAGACGCAGTGGGAGTGGGAGTGGGAGTCGGCACTTACCTGAGCGAGTGTATGAGTATCTTTTGTTCGGTGAGCGCCAAGAGGAGCACGTGCAGGCAGTTGTCGGTGCCCAGGTTCTGGAGGAGCATGTGGAAGCCGGCGCCGCTGCGCGGCAGTGGTGAGTCCTCTGGCTGCGTGAGCAGAATCCGGTCGTTCGACTCACTCGACAGCTGCAGGTGTATGCTGGGCGCTGGGAAGGGCACCTCGTCCAGCAGCTGGATAATGTAGCGCTCCACGGGTATCGGTATATTGACGCCATACACGACCATCCGCTAGGAGAGAGCAGGGGGCAAGATGAGATCGGTTAGCGGGCGTCTGTTAATTGCTGCAGGCGCTTACGTGTAAATATTTCAGCCACTTGTCGAATGTGTCGCCAAACGGATGGTGCGAGAGCAGGCAGATGGCCTTGATCATGTGGAGCGAGTGCTGGGCCGCAAACTCCTCATCCCAGCCGAGCAGCTCGCGCTGCTCCGCGGACAGCAGCGACTCACTGCAAGCGAATGTATCGTCAATTGAATCACGAATAGTCACGTCTTGGGTGCATTTCTTACTCGTAATCCTCGTAGAATGTGAGCGCCGAGCCGTACACCTTGTAGGTGCCGTCGCTCACAGTTAGTACAAAGGTGCTGAACACAGGGCTGATGGGCTTCCGTTTCTCGGTGCCATTGACGTGGGGCCAGGCCTCCAGGCTGGCGCCCATGGGCAGGCAGAAGAGGGGCACGCTCGGACAGAGGTTGAGCGGAAAGTCCGTGTGGTCGACGGTGGGATAGCGCAGCAATATTTCCGGCTTGTAGCTAATGTGCTTGGGACGGTACATGGACTTCTTGTAGCACAGGTATACATCGCTGCCCACATAGCCCTTGTTCAGCGTCTTGTAAATGAGACAGAAGGCGTGCGGCGGTCGTTCCCCTTTGCTCTGGACGATCACGCAGAGTTCGGTGACCACCAGCTCGTTGCAGGGCATGTCTGGACGGGCTCGACGATATGTGAGAAATGTTTTCGCCGACGAGTTGTTCACGTTGGCCACACGGCCGCCGGGCGTCTCGGCCACTATTTCCGCATCCGACATGATGCGCTCGTGACCATCATAGAGCACACCTTCAACGGCAGAAGACAAGACCACTCGATTAGAGCTCACATGTGGGGCTTCGATTCACTCACCGATATCCACTAGCGGCGGTCGATCCTTGCCGCGTCGAAAGTATATGTAGCATTCAGTGGTGCGGACGGAGCCATGATTGAGGTTTGCTGGCAGTCCAGTGGGCGTGTGCTCCAGCAGCTCGTAGCCATCGGGAATCTGTTCGCCGAGGAGCGGAAAGAAGACGCCAATGTCTGTGATGGGCTCAATTGTATTGGCCGCACGCAGACGGCCCGAGTCATTGAATATGTTCTCCTGGAGCAGCTGTGGCTGCTCGGGCATTCCGGCAATCACAAAGTAATCCGCTATGCGTTTCTCCTCCATGTCTTACGCTGGAATCGCTCGTGTGTTCGTCTCAACTGCAAAGAAATGCCAAAACGGCGAAGCTTTTACTCGTTGCGATAAGATAAAACGGACGGGCAAAGACACATGCCCAGGCCGCCGTACCAAAGTCGATACGGTGGCGGCAGCTGGCGCAAATCTTTGTTTACATTGCCGACGTCGTCGTGCTATCGCCGCAAGCTGATTACAAATGCGCACAGCTCGAATGAAAATCAAAGCAATAATATAAATAAGCAACTTTGCTCGAATCTCGAATCTCGATACGAACGACAATGTCGCTGCCGTCGTCAATGCTGATGTCGTGGATTTCGCTGTTGTTGTTGTTGCTACTGCTGCTGTCGTTGCTGTTGTTGTTGTTGTTATCGTTGCTGTTTCAGATTATGCTACGACCACAGCTTACAACAAAAACAAGTTCCGCATGATGATTCAACGACGTTTCCGCTGCTGCTGCTGTTGTTGTTTTTGTTGTTGTTGTTGTTGGCGTTCAATGATAGGCCACTTGTTTTGTTGCTGGTGATTTGGTTTTTGTTTACAGGAATCGAAATCCGCTGCCGTTGCGGTCGCTCCAGTTTCAAATGCAAAACTTACGAATCCGCTGATGTCGCATTTACCGTTGTGGCAGCTGCTTGAAAGAAGCGCTGCTGCGTCTTTGATTCAGTTCAATTTTCAATTTTCGTCGTCGTTTTTGCAACTTCTTCACACTACGTTAATTTCCACACAGCGTTGCACAAACACACACTCGCACACCACAGCCACACACAACACACCGACCACACATTCGCACACACGCATATGCACGCATTCACACAGACAAGACACGAATCATACATACATATCGATATGTAGGCGGCGACATCCGCCCACTTGCACTTTGTCTTGACTCTGTGCCCTTAACTATCGCGCGTCTTTTGTTCAATTTGTTACGTCGTAGATGTTTAATGCATGCCAATTCGTTGTGTATTGAAAGCTAGGGTTGTTGATATATCGCACACTGCTCGTGTCAAATTTCGATACAACAATACATCTATCGATTGGGCTTATGAATAAATGATCTTACTGTAGTTAAGGAAACGATTAACGAGTCGGTGCTTCTACTATACGTATGTATGTTTGTAGAGTTGTACAGAAATTGATTGCATTAAGATGAATCACCTTATATAGTGGCATTTAACAGTAACAAATAAACAATTCTTTGAGATGAACATCTGAATTTGGTGAACTATCGCCAAAGCTTTGAGATTGACCGTTTCCGACTATCGATTGTAATAAAAATATTAATATTATTAATATTATTACTGAGCACGTAAAATTTAATTCAGCAGCTGTAGGAATAAACAAAGTCAATCCGTTTCTCAATAAAAATACAATGCTGCATTATATGCTTAGGGGGTCCAGTAAACCATTTATTTAGAAACAACGCTTAGGAAAGCCCTTGACATTGGCCTTGATATGAATAGGATATGGTAAATACACACATTATTTGGTTTTCATTGTTGACACAAGGTGTTCATTTCATATGTATAACTACATTAGTGTATGTATATACAATCAATAGTCAAGGCTCATAGGACTCTCAAGGTTCAAATTTCACTTGATGGTTTTTCAGCTTTGGTCGGATTACGATTTCGTCGGATATGAGAAATATTTGAAAAATTTTGCCACTATATAAAAATAAAAACTGGAATTTATTCTTACCTAATGTTAAACATACTTTTCTCCTGTGTGCCTGCGGCTTTTGAATTTATTATTCCAGCGTATACGACACAACTATCGCTTTCGATAAGCATATTTAAATCTAATCGATATTTCACTCAATTTGGTGCTGCAAAACAGTTGCTCATCAGCTGCTTCGACAGGTCAGTCTGCGCACAGCTGATGGCGAAAGAAACATCGTATGCCATATATCGATACATATATCGTGTACAACCATCGACACACAAGGTATCGTTAAATAATGGCGCGAAATCAATTTTCAAATTAAAATTGATTTAAGTGCTATTCTAAAATTGCTGAAATGCTTAAAACTCTCTTAGTATATCCAAGTATTGTTGGATATATCGGACGTTTTTAATCGCAGCCCAATTAGTAATTGTGGCCCTAGTGCATGTGCTCTGCACCATATCGGGCAAGCTAAGTAGACCGTAACTGGCCGAACAAAGGCGACACATACATTAGAGCTAATTATGCTCTTTATGACTTAAAGCCAAGCTGCCGTCTATTATTCCTAATTTACAATCACCCAGTTGGCACCAGCGGCAGCACATGTTCATTGAGCGAAAGTCGTGGGTCTCATTCATGGGGGCGAGTGACTTTAGTTTTCGCTCAACTTGAGCGCAACTTAACTTCTGCGCAGCCAGTGGCGCCCCAAAGGGAGGGGCCGCTGCTCAATGCCGTGTGTCCCCCTCCTGGAGCAGAGACTCTGGTGCGCAGTCTGGCTCGTTTTTGTTTACAAATATTCCGTTGTGCCATCCGCTCGTACCGTAGTCCTTAGAGAGTTCCATGCGCGCCTGTTGCGTGCGACCGTTAGATGTGTTGGCTTAATGGATTCTGCCTCGGCCTCGATTGCCTTGGCCATTTGGCTGGCCCGGCCCGGCTGCTGTTTCTATTTGTGATAATCAAATTAAGCGGTCTTCCCGAGCTGATTATCAGCTATGCCATTGCCATTTAATTTCGTCTTAATCAACTGCACAGTTGCCAGTCCCTTCCTGGTCCCTTCCTGGTCCCTTCCTGGCCTTCCCATGCCGCGGCGACGGCCCATTACAAAATAATATAACAAAGATTTATCAAGAAAAACCCCAATAAAAATCACAGCAAAACAATTAACTAAGCAATCTGGGCCAGCAAATCAGATTAATTAAGAACAATTGCCCAACATTCAAATAGCCGTATGGTCTTCCACATTATGTGATATAAGCTTGATATATGATTTATATACCTATGATTGTTGCTCGACTGGGCCATGCCCTATAAATGAAATTGCTTACAAAGTATTTATTATAATTAATATATTATTATTCATATAATAATCGTATGCCATACGACTATGTATATACCCTACTAAATGTGTGATTTTAGTGGAGCATAATGTTTCATTTTATTTATAGGAGCAAGTAAATATGCAAAGTCTCAGCTAGTTAGTTAATCCTCGTCTGTTTCATTTCCTGGAAATGTATTTTCTAATTTTTCAATTCTGAAAATAATTCGTGTTTAATTTTCGTTTCGCAGAATGGGTCGGCGTCTTAATGCATGCACATATTTCTATTCGCATCCTGTTTTGAAGGCAAGACAAACTCACTCAGGGCATTGAGTGGGCGTGCGCTGGCAAAGCGCTCCGAGTAGAAGTAAAAAAAAAAAAGAAAAAAATTGCTCATACGCCATGTCGGCTGTCGCTTGGTGCGTGCTCAGGTTCGGGTCGCTTCGTTGATTCTTTGGCAACGGCAACGGCGGCGGCGACGGCCACGTTCACTTGGATTTCTGATTTGAATTGTTGAAAGCGTTTGCAGTTCGCTTGCGAATGTCCTGACCGACGGTTGTGTGGCCGGCGCAGCATCCGAGCAACCGAGCGACAATTTACCAAAGCGCTTCGAAAATGGTTTTTGAAAGTGTGAATACAATGTACTTCAGCAGAGCTAACTCTAATTGGTAATACTCGTATTATTCGTTACCAAATCCGTGCATATTTTTCTTGACTATTTTTTTATGTGCTGAAAACTAAAGGAAATTTGAAAATTTAAAATTAAAATTAAATTAAAAAACAAAACAAAACGATTCTCAAGTGATAAATAAAATAGAAAATACTTGATATTCAGCCACTGTACTTGGCCGTGCTTTGTGCCACCTGCGCTAGCCCCTGTCCTCGCATCTAAACAGGTGAGTGCACCACCGCTTAATTACCGGAAATTGAATTATAAGGTGCGGCGACGACTTTCACTAACGGTAATTACATTATTTCGTTACGCGCTTTCACCTCAAATATCGAGCAACACAAACAAGTTGAACAAATTGCATGCAAATATTTCCAAAATTTTCATTAATGAGTTCGAATTTGAGTTCGAATTTGCAATTCGCAATTCTCAATTGAACAAATTTGAACTAATTGTGCTTTATAGAACTGCGAGAGCTTTGCAATTCTGTGTGCCTCACTTTGATCAACAGAGAGTGAGAGAAAGAGAGAGAAAAAGAGTGAGAGCGCGGAGTATTCTCTGGTCGCATTGTATTCATCGGTCTTTAGCTCGATTCAAATGAAATTATGCGGTTACCCCAATCAATGGCGATTTGCAGCCAACTCAAAAGGTTGAAGCGAGCTCCCTTTTATTTTTTATATTTCGTGAGACCTAATTCAATTAGGCGAAATAGGGTTGCCTTAAAAGCTGTGTATATGTGTGTGTGTGTTTGTATTTGCGTCTATCAAAAACAGTATCAAAGGCAGAGGGAATGCGCTATTTAAATACACAGACGGCATAAAGCTCATTAGCATATTGTCGCCAGAACGGTCATCAGGTTGACGGGACAGCTGGTCCCTGTCCTCAGTTCCCTGTTCCCATTTCCCAGCTCTAATTTTTCCACTTGATTGATGAGTCCAGTTACAGTTACAGTTACAGTTACACTTACAGTTAGAGTCGAGAACAAAAAATAAACTCGGCAACGCATCTCAAAATTTTACCTGCCAGCCGAAATGAAATGCATTTATCAAATAGATGAGTTCACCCATTACCACCTACCCCCTCCCCCCGCGGCGCAATCAGCAGCCGCTTAAATGATTCCATCTATATTTATCATAAACAATTTTGGAGCTAGACTTTTAGATTTGTATTCAGAATGTCATAGAGTCCATACGAATTTTTAGATTGTTTATATATTTAAAATTTATATATTTAAAATTCTTTAGTCTTTAGAGTATTATTCAATTTTCTGATTAAATGGGAGCTTAATTAAATACAAAAATCTTTTATTTACTCATTAAATAACTCCTGATTATCTTTTTAATTGTATAACTGTTACACTAAAATATGAAGTTCAGTGTAAGCCTTAAAGGTCGCCGTTACATCCAGTCGTCAATTATCCCTTATGCGCGATATAATTACTTAATTAATTAATTATGAGCATATTAATTTTTAAATTGAATTAAAATCTTTTCTTTTAATTATATGCATTACTCATATTTATAATTTAAGTAATGATATT